CCTGAGTCCCCAGGATGTCATGGTGAGCCTGGATCCCAGGAGCGCCCTGGGTCCCTGGAGAAGCGAGGCCAGCGCCAACCCCAAAATGAGATGTTTACCCAGAAAATCTTCCCGCTTTGGACCCGTCGACAGCCACCAGCAGGGGCTTTGCTGGGGAAGCCCCACCCCCACTACACCCCCGAACAGGCCAGACCCCACTCAACAGCAGCACCCCGAGCCGTAGCACCCCCACACCAAGGGGTCTCACCCCAACCCAACAGACCCAGGGGCAGACTCTGACATCCCCACAGCCCTGAGGTCAGGCGGGACCAGCCGGGATGCCACTGGGCCAGGCAAGGCACTGACCCCAGCGAGACCCTTCTCCTTGTCCCCCGTTCCCCGGCTGCTGCTGCTCGTCTGCTTCGTTAGTGACAATTAAACCTTTAACAACCCATTAAATGCATAATCAATGCTTCCCCGGCTCCCCAGCCCGGCTAATGGGCCGGGGCCGAGGTGAAGCGGCCCCAGCAGAGGCGTGCTCCGGCAGGGAGATAATGAAGCAACGGCCGCGGAAGTAATGGGGTTTGATCCAGGGGAAGGGACGCGCTCAATGGGGGCTGCGCTTTTCACATGACATAATTGCTGAGCCTGGCGCCAGCCCGAGGCACCCCTCGGCCTCCCGAGCGCCAACAAAGGCTGGTTGGCGCGGAGAGCAGGGGGTTCGCCACCCCCGACCCGTTTGATCGGAGCCTAATTGGGGCGAGGATGCTCCTCCCCCTCCAAATCCTGCAACCACCACCTAAAAGTGAGGGTCTGGAGAGGCCCCAGGATGAGGAAGCGTCTCCCCAGGTCCCTGGGGTTGGGGCGCATATATGGGTTATTAAATGAGTTAATTTGCATGGAGTGGGACTGGCGCGCCCCAGGGCATCGTGGCAGGGGCTGTTGGGGTACCCTCACGGGAGGGGTCGGTTGCCCGTTCAATCCCACATGCGCCCCGGTGTCGCACTGTGCTTAGTGCAGGAATGGGCACTATTTCTGGCCAAAGGAGTGACACTGAGACAGAGGCGATGTAGGAGCGCAGGGCTGCCTGCCCTTTCCTCTTTACTGGTGCTTGCCCCGGCTGAGAGCTGGTGGAGCACGCCTGGCATCACTTGTGGCCACAGCTGCGGCACATGGGACCACGTTTGGTCAAAATCCAAGAAAAAAACCCATTTTTTCTCCCCTTAGATCCCAAGATTGTCCTGAAATTGTTTGCTGCCCAGACAGGGCTGGCACAGGCTTGCGCCCAGGAGGACTGGGTGCTACTGGGAGCACTGGGGGGGTTCTCCCAGCCCCTCATGGTGGAGCAGGAGCCCTCCCACCCCCACTAATCCCCTCCACGGGATTTGCCCCCTAATCTGCTTATTTCTCTCTATTTCTCCTAGGCCTGAATGAACCCAGCCCTGCCCCAGCACGACGCCTCGCACCAGCTGAGCTGTGGGTTCTGGGCACTCTGCCCCCTGGGCTGCCGGGCAGTGTCCCAGCATGTGGGGCTGGCACTGACTTGAGATATGGGGCTGGCACTGCCATGCCAGGAGACATGGGGCTGGCACTGGCACTGCCCGGGGACGTGGCAGTGGCAGTATCCCAGCATATGGGACTGGCACTGTCATGGCAGGGAATGTGGAGCTTGCGCTCTCTGTACCCACAGTACCAGTGCCATGTCACAGGGCAGCACCAAGCAACAGTCCCCTGCACCAGGGTCCCAGCCCTACTGCCCGGTGAGGCCCGCACCCCCCAGCACAGGCCAGGATGGGGCTCACCCCTCCCTGCATCTGCCTCCACCCATATCACCCATGTCATCCCCGTGACACGTCACACCCATGTCACCCTGTCCCCTCCAGGCCCCAGGACCCCAGCAGGATAGGTGTGACCCCAGGGGACTGCAGTGACAAGGGGGCAGCCATGCTGTCCCTCTACAGGGTGTGGGAGCCAGTGACCTCAGGGCTCAGGTCCTCCTCAGGGGCGTTGAGCCAAGAGCTCCCTTCCGCCCCCACACTCCCCGAGGGGGAGGG